TTATGGAATTTGATGTATTTTTTTAAATACAAACCGCATTTCAGCCTTTAAGCCACTTTCAATTAATAAAGTATAAAATAATTTTAAAGTTTTATACTTTTGAATGATTTTTCCCTTTGTAAACAAATAATAAAAGAGGTCAAACTAAATTATTTATCACAAAATAAATAAATAAATACAATTTCAGTCAAAATTAAGCTGGATAAGCTAGTTTGGGAGTAGTTCATTCCCACAAATTACAGAAAAATAAATATTTGATCATTGTTTTTACAGTAACTAACTGGTTATTACTAGGTTATTACTACCAGTTGATCTTGACTAAAACATTACAAATTGCTCCAAAAAATCACGATTTTAAGAGAGGAAATACAATTATTACTACATACAATGTTATTTTATGTCCGATTTTAGATTGTACTTTAGATTTAGATTTTATTTTAGATTTTTATTTGAGTTGCATGTTAGATTTTCTCTGAATATTTTATTTTATGTTTGATTTTAATCAAACATATCTAACAGTTCTTAAAACCAAAATATGGGATTTGTGATATCTTGAGGTGCTTCTAATGCTTTAAAACACACACACACACACACACTTACATTGACAAGTGTGCAATACTAAACTGCACATTTATTTTATCATTCCATTTATCCACACCTGCGCAATACCTTTTAATTCATTTAAGCTAATTTCCAGTTTTGATATTTCACAACACCGCTGTGATTCTCAGTCATGAGCTCAGCCGGTGTCATCATTAGGCATGAAAACATAATACTGACTTCGTTTGAGAATTCAGGTCACAATCAGACGGAACTGAACCGCAGTAATAACTTCATTTCGAAAGCCTGAGATTAGTAACTGTAAACACCGGTTGTGTCCATATTGCTAGCTCTTTCCATATTCACAGACAGGCTTAAAAGTGATGCACCCACGCCTTGAAAACGGACAAGTGAATATCCAACGTGTTATCTCGGCTTTAAAGTACAAACATGTGTATCGGAAGCAGTGCAGCCCTTCGCAATAGAGCAAACCAGACCAACAAGTTGGAGAGAGTGATAACGTCTCTACTCACGTATCGAGTGATGAGGTTCCGAATGGTGCTGAAATCCATTCTGCTCGAGCCGCTCCAGGTGCGCTGTCTTCGGTTTCTCCTCTAATCTTGTAGAATGGGCACTTAAGACGCTAGCTGATCACTGTAGCAAGTCTCTGGTCCATGACTGTCTTCTACGGCTTCTTCTAGGCTTGACAACTGACAGTCCTACACGACTACCGCGAAAATGTAATCTACTGAGCACCTACTGAGATGAAGAAGGCTAACTTACTATGTAAAGTCCACACGTTGTCATAGTGACATGCTCCGGTTTCACCTACATACACACGGACTGAGGGGAAAAAACAGCAAGCTCTCGTTTTTCAAGGTGTTGCCTTAATATTTTAAGGGACCGGCCACTTCTTGCTTGTCAAGCGTCCCTCCGGGCTGTTCTCTGGTGTACTGGCGTACTCTCTCTCCTTCTCGGTGTAGTAGAGCTCCCTCGACTCCCCGTCTGTTTGCGCCGGAACGTCATGAGCCCCGTGAGCGCACGCGCACTCTTCTGCTACACCCACCCGCCCACGGTGATTTTTTTCGGCCTGTCCTCCGGTCACTCCCCCATCCAGCTACTGCCAATCAATCTCAGGCAACAAACCGGTTTAGGGTGATGACATTGCCTCTCAAGTGTTTTAGGACTGTGTGGGGTGACTTGACGACTTCAAAAATATAATTAAAAAAAATAATTTACAATAAAAAAGGAAAAATGATTGGGAAATAGTAGAATAAATAACTAACAACTACAATAATAACAGAAACAAAAATAATAAGTATTTTCAGGGAACACACACTGGTAAAAAATGTATAGCCTGAATGCACTCTGCTAAATGCATAAATTATTATTATTATTATTATTAAATTATTTGTATCATTATTATCATACTATTATCATAATAATGTCATAATATTATCATACAATTATCTTAATAACCCATTTAAGCCCACCGGCAACTATAGTTGCTGCAGTTTATAGTCGTCATTTTCCTTTAGTAAGTATTTTTTCTAGATGTTATCCATGTTTTATTTCTCAATGACATGCAAGAAAACAACCAAATAAAGGATTTCAAGAAATTCTTTCAATTGCAATAATAATAATAATTTTAAAAAAAGGATTTCAAGAAGAAGAAAAAAGGTATTCGCTTCCTTCCTGTCACATGAGGCTGTCAAGTTCCTACCCCTACTTCCAGGAAGCATGGCGAAGGCAAACCCTCCAAAAAGAAATGTAATTTGAATTGTTACTAATAAGTCTTTTTTGTTGACATATATATATCTACATAATCATGAAGGTCTCTAGAATCATCCAAACAAAACAAATCTTACAGGAGATCTATAGTTTTTTGTATACTTTAGTTGCTTAGTTACTATATTTGCCGGTGGGCAAATGACTTGTAAGTGCATATCATGGGGAAATTAATGTTAATAGGTTAATAAATCAAGGTTATTGGTCTTGTTTAGTGCTTTTTGCTTTCATAATATCCCACCTAAAACATAACTTAACCCTTTAACTGACATCTCTACTGTACAGTAGACCTTAATTTGATAGAGAATACATCTGTCAAAAGGAGGAGATGAGAGAGCAATCTTTCCACAGCTCCACTGCCCCACTTCTGTGTCTGCTTTTGCCATGGGGCGGGGATTTCCAGTTTTCAAGTGACAGCAGTAGTTTACAAACTTCCATCAGTCACACAAAAGGAAGAATGGAAAAATAAAGAGCTAACGCATGCGATTAATTGCTGTAGATGATTTTTTTTCTCCCTTTTATGACATTATGTCTTGTAAGGGGCAAAATATTGAGGCCCCTTTATCCAGTTTGGGTGCGTTTCATTCTAATTGGTCAAGGACCCTAATTCATTTTATGACTAATAGCTTATGGTTCCATTATAATGTTGAAATTCAGACAAGTAATGAGTTTACATTTACATTATTATATGAAATCACCTACTACAGTCAGCCATTGAATACTATGGGCCTAAAAAAATGCGTAATTTTCTTTCAGGTATAACTTTTTTATTATATACATGTAATATTTTCTTTATTCTATTTCTTTATTTTCATTTAACTAACACACCTCTAAGAATGAAAATACCTGCATGTTCAATAATAAGTAAATAAATAAACAAACAAACAATCGTGGGTGTAGCCTACACATGATAATTATTTAAATAAGCATATATTTTAAAAAGAATATCATTAATTTCATGAATATCAAGGACTTTTGTCAGGGTTAATCCATTTGACCTAATCAATATGTGCCTATTCATAAAATGTGTGATATTTTACATATTTACATAAAGTATAGTATGCAAATATGTTTGTGTAAATTTATAAAACTACTTGTACCTTCACTGCTTACATAAGGTAAAGTTCACCCAAAAATGGAAATTGTGTCATCGTTTAGTCACCCTCAAGTTGCAAACCTATGAGATTCTTTCTTCTGTTCAGCACAAAAGAAGATATTTTGCAGAATGTTGGTTACCAAACAGTTGAATGCGTAATTTTCTTTCAGGTATACCTTTTTTTTTTACATAGATGTAATATTTTCTTAATTCTATTTATTTTTATTTATTTATTTTCATTTCACTTTTTGATACACAATACCCTGCTGGGGCAACTTAATGGCTGCACTTTGTTCTGCACTAAGTTCCACCACTTTAATACAAATGAATTTGTTGTGTTTTCATATTTAAGAGTTATAAGACAGATGCAGCCTTTTTTGGGTTTGTATCGAATGTTCTTCGACTTTAATGCATAATACATTTGTTTATGAATAAAGATTGATCTGTTGAAAGCAGTTATTTTGAGTTAGATGCCAAAAGCTCTCCTCCTATTCAAATTTGACATTGAAGGAGTGCATACAACATATTTGCCCACCGGTAACTATAGTTGCCGCACATTCATATTCGATTTTCAAGAAAAGAAAAATAAAAACCTGGGGAAAATAAATGCAGAACATGTTCACATAGGACTCTATTAACATGACTAGATGCATGAAACCATTCAGAAAAATGTGGGCACAAATGGGTTAATTAAAAATAAAAACATTTACTGTATCTATTACACATTATGAGATCAGTATAATTTCATTATTTTTATGTAATCAAACGAAGAATGATAAATATAATGTGTTATATTTTTGAATAATAAAATAAAAGAATTTTTAAAATAAAAATAAATAATGATTGATATTATTATATAATTATTAATCTAAATTATTATAAAAAATATCAAATTAGTTAAATTATTTAAATTATTAACTAAATAAATTAAATTTCTAGCCATTTATCCCTTTACAGCTTTTAGTAAAAAAAACTATATTTTTTATTGATGCAGTCAAAAATATATCAGTACAATTCATTTAGCTAACCTACTTCTACTTTACACATTTATACTCCTACTACTACTACTACTACTAATAATAATAATGATGATGGTAGTAGTAGTAATAATAATCATCTTCATCATCATCATTATTACATAGAATATCAAAATGTATATAATAATATTTCATCATAATTATTCAGATAAATTATATATTATATAATTAATTTCCAGTAATGGTCTTGTTTATAGTCCTGTGCACCATTCAAACATGTATCAAAGCTGATTAATTACCCCTTTACAGTTTTTTGTAAAAGAGAACATTTTTGATTATTAATGGCTTTAAACAATCAAACTATAATAATAATAATTATTATTATTATTGTTGTTGTTGTTGTTGTTGTTGTTATTATTATTAGTAGTAGTAGTAGTAGCAGCAGCAGCAGTAGTAGTAGTAGATGACAGATTTTAATGTAGGCTTTTTTTCAACATGTTTTATGATATTTTGCGCTTAAGTAAAGTTTGTAGGGAGGAACTTTTTCCGGAGTCTTATTTTACAGCCGGCTGTTTTTCCGCTGCGCACCACAGCTGTGACTGTCCGACTGTGGGGCGCTTTTCGGCGGGTTCCGTTAAAATGGCGCTGTTGTTGCCAGGAGCTGAAACCCAGCAGATGAAAAACGACAGCGGTTAAAAACATACCGCGGACCTTTTTCTGCTCGCACGGAGGGCAATATATACGTGCACAATGGCGGCGCTTGATCAGAAATCACCCAACGTGCTTCTGCAGAATCTGTGCTGTAAGATCACGGGCAAGAGTGAAGGTAAAGACACATCTCATTCTGTCGTCCAGCTGCTAAAACATGATTAGCATGTGTAGCGATGGACTATGCTGTGAGTTTCGTTGAAAACGGACAATGTGATGTGATGTGATATGATATGATAATGCATGTGATTGAGGGTGAGATACTGTAAGAGGACAGGCTGGGAAAACATCAGGGAGGTGCTGGATAAAACAGGGCCCCTGTTTCAAATGGCCCTTCATGTCAATAAAGACCCTGATGCTTCGAACTCAAGCTATTATGCCATCTTTTATCAGCTCACTGGTGCTGTCATATTTCAAATGTATGTATGAGTTAAACCCTAATCTGAAGGAAACACATCTCAGAGAGTCCACAATAGACATAAACAGATGAGAAACAGGCATTTCACTTTAGAATAGAATGAAGAAGAACGTTTATTGTTGGACATGAGCAGTTCATCATTGGACCTAGAGAATGTATAAACAGCAGACATAACAGAATATGATCCCTGCTTTCAGTTTCCAAAAAGAGGAGCTAATGCCTGTATGTATAATCAGATTTGCTTGTGTATCTTCTGTCATTGTTCTCAGCTGATGTAGCCCATCAGTTCCAGTATGCAGTGCGGGTCATCGGAAGTAATTACGCACCCACAATTGAACGGGATGAGTTTCTGGTGTCTGAGAAAATTAAAAAAGAATGTGAGTAATCTGAAACCCTGTCCTTACGTTATTCATGAGCAGTTGTGCATTCAGGAGGTTTCGTAGAACATGATGTGCAGGGTTTAACAATAAGGATTTTTTTTTTTACCTGTTTGGTGGATCAGGAGGATAGTAGTTCCAATTTATATGATATATGATATTGCATGGCATGAAATTATGCAAACAACCATCAATTGTAGTGATAATTAGAGATTGACTGCTAATCAGTTTTACCTAAAAAAAAATTCTGATATTTAAGCATTTTTTCCCTTATTTGCATACCGTTTTTTGTAATATCGGATCCATAGATAAATGGCTTATAACTTCCAACAGAATGGCCACTCTATATACAGTTTAACCAGATCCACTTGTTTAAAGGTTTCTAAATTCTATTAACATTTTCTGTTAATTTCACTATTAATTGTCATTGACATACATATAGCTCTGTGGAAAATAATGTATTATCTCTGTGAGTGATTGCGATCTCCAAGTGTAATGTATATAAAATGGGGCAAAATACACTTGTTTTATGCAATAAATGCTTTTAAAAATTTGTTGGGTGATAGTCAGAGTATTGATAAGATGTGCATGTCATTTGCTGGTAGATTGTCTGTAGATGTGCTACTCGTTGTAAAACAAAAAATATCATAGTTAGCAGGCATTTCAAAATCTAGACCAACAAAAACATGAATAATTCCGATAACATGCCATTTGAAATGGACCATAATGTATTTACTGTTTTGTGTTACTTTTCTGACAATGTATAATTATTCCAGTGAATTAGCTGTCTTTACTCCTTAGCCTAATAAACAATGCTTAAACCTTAATTTTACTAAAATTACAGTTATACAAATGTAAAACAAATTACATTTATGCAAAGTTTATACACTCCTGTGTTATTTGTTTTATATCTGAAATTGTTAGACTTTGTCAATTTATTTTGCCTATTGTTTATTTTTCTGCAGTTGTTGTTATAAAAAAACTAGGAAAGTTTTTACCCAAAGTATAGTAATGGACATTATTTTTTTAAAGCAAATATCACTTTAAAAGGTGCTATATAATTGTTATTTTTATTTCTTTTATTTTTTATGAAATAATATTGTATATTGTTAAATTATTGTATACAGTTCGTTAAAGTATTAATGTGTTAAGATTATTTTAAATCTTATTTTTTTTTATTTTGCCTTGAATATAGTCTTTGCTGAGATGGCATAAAATGGTAAATGTATTAATAAATAAATAAATGGTATAATTTAACAAAAACTGAATTTTGCATATTAGTTAGTGGACATATAAACATAGAAATAATTGGTTATAGAAAAATCAATATTGGTCGATCTCTAGTGATAATGCAATACGGGCCCAGTAGTGCTAGTGATAGTTCTGTCAACAGCCCCTAAACTCATCAGGCCATTCTTTAATATTTCTGGTTTATACGTTTCAGATGCAAAATATATATTTTTTTCTTATTTATTGTAGTATTAAAACAACGACGGGAAGCAGATGCTGCCCTTTTTTCTGAGTTGCACAGAAAGCTTCAGACTCAGGTCGGTATCCAACTCATCGCCAGCACATTGAGTCCTTATTATTATCATGATACGTGTAGACTAGATATAATGAATGGCATATCGTATGGTTATATTTGTTGATTTATTTGTTTCTGGTGAACAGGGTGTATTGAAACATAGATGGTCCATCTTATACCTCCTGCTCAGCCTCTGTGAGGACCCAAGGAAGCCATCTAACCGTGTTCCTGTATGTTCCTGAGATGTTTCTTCAGCAGCTATTCTGCAGATATATCACAGTAACATAATGAAAATCATTCTGCATTATGTATAAGACAAAGTTTCTTTTTTCCCCTACACAGGTGTGTAGTTATGGAGCTCTGCTTGCCCAGGCTTTGCCCCGTGATGTCCACTCCACCCCGTTCTACTACGCCCGTCCCCAGAGCCTCCCACTCAGCTACCCAGAGCGCTCTGCGACTGCCCATAACTCCAGCATTGCTACCAGTGGCATCAGCAGTATGGGAGTATTCTCAATCAATGGGCCTGGACCGACCCCTCCATCTCTGCTCACTGGGTGAGTGACAGTGATGGACTGATTTTTCCATACATTGACCATGGGCTGTCAAGCTCCAAAAAGGACAAAAATAGTACCATAAAAGTCACATATACCACATTGCACCAACGTAGCTATCAGTAATGCCAGTCGACACTGATACTATTGTCATGTGATCATGTGAAAGAGAAATTGGTGTTTTTGGGCAATTTGGGGTTTTTAGGCTTTATGATCATTCTAAAGAATAACTAAATTATTCTTAAAGGGGTCATATGATGCGATTTCAAGTTTTCCTTTCTCTTTGGAGTGTTACAAGCTGATTGTGCATAGATAAGATCCCTGAAGTTGCAAAGACTAAAGTCACAAAACCAAAGAGATATTCTTTATCAAAGTTAAAACTCTGCCCGTTTGAGAGAGGCGGGGCATAGAGGACCTACAATAATGTACAGTATTTGAAAAATAATGTGTTTTTTGAACATTAAAGCATGTCAACATATTCTGTTACACCAAATACACCAAATAATTATCTTTTAAAAAGCATCATATGACACCTTTAAGAATTTCTCTTTTTGTGTTTAATGGAAGAAAGTTATTCATACAGGTTTAGAACATTATTTACAGTGAGAATTATTTTTCATTTTTGAGGTGAACTATCTTCAAAATTAATTTTCATGCCAAACAGCTGCAACATCCACTGTGAAATACATCAATGCAAACACAACTGTTCAAAAGTTTGGGGTTGGTACGTTTTTTTTGTTTTTGAAACCGAAAACCAAAACTGCGTTTCTTTGATCAAAAATACAATTTAAAATGAAAACTGTTTTCTGTTTCAACATATTTTCAAATGTAATGTATTCCTGAAATCTGAATTTTCAGCAGTCATTACTCCAGTCTTCAGCGTCATGTGATCAGAAATCATCTCTGAAGACAGATAACTTTTTGTCTGTTTATGGGTAGAATTTGACTACAATCCATTAAGAATGTTTCCATTTCTCTGTTTCTGGTTTGTTTAAATACAAATATTTACAGATTATTTTTTCAGTAATTGTTTTTTGTCTACAGGGAAAATAATCATGTCCCATGTAAAGAGGTTTTCACTGCATGCATTTACTATACATTTCTAAAAAGTGAAGTTATTTACATGAGCAACACTAATTGCTAATAATTGCTCTCATTATATTAATTGAAACAGTTTATTACTGTAAGCAGTTGCATACTGTTGCATCACATTGCAATGCACGCTATGTTTCATACATTTTATTTATTTTGAATTGTTTTATTGTGCTTCATATAGTGCTTTATCACTGCAACAGCCTATGACAGCATATGGGTTTATTCTCTTCCTATCTTTTTTTGATATAATTTTTTCAGTAATGCAGCTGTTGTATTTGTAGCATGTTTAATTGAACTGCCATACACTCATCTATTATTAATGCAGCTGTCTAGCACCTGCAGCACTTAAGATATTTAAAATATGGCCATGTACTCAAAGCCATGAATTAATTGATTACTGGATCCATTTCACAGTAAATCTGTCAAACCAACAGCATCATTAAAGTGTCTGAACCTTAGTGTCATTATTTGTTTAAACTTTAAAGCTCACCGTTACGAAGTAATTAGTGAATTGCCACAGGTATTGCTAATGGGCATCAATGACGAGTTTCAAGAAAATGGGGTTTGAGGTGAAAATGTTTTTAGCAAAATGACAATGTAAACATTTTAGGACATTTTTTTTTAACACCTTCCTAGAATTTGACCTTTTTTAGTAGAGATTGGCTGTTAAATGATGAAATGCAGAGGGTTTCAGAGAAACTTGAGTGTATTTATAAGAAAGTTTAGCCACTTATATCATTTTCAGACCTGGACCCCAGGCCGTTGGTGAGTCTATGAGAGGGTCTCGTCTAGCCTGGACTCTCCCGATCTCCAGTTCCCCCTCTGGGGCAGCTGCTGCCCCTCGTCCCCCCAGTGGACCCTCTTCCAGTCCGGCATCCAAACTCCCACAGAGACAGAGACGAGATGGAGATGGCAGTGGTGAGTGTCTGCATCAACAGTCACTGTTTTGTTAAAGGAAATGCTCAGGACATTTCAGGAAATAATTGTGTGATTTATATACTAAAATAAATAAGGATAGTATTTTGAAATATTAAAAATATGTGCTGAACACCAGTGACAGGTGCCTGGGAGTTTTATGCAGTAGATGCTATAAATGTTTCACTCTGTAAACAAATCCTTGTTATATGTTTTTCAGTAGTTTTTAGACTACTTATGATTAGTTAATTGTCCTTTACATTTGGTTTTTGTCCTTTAAGTGTAGAGAGAAGTAAGAACTACAGTGGGGAAAAAAAGTATTTAGTCAGCCACCAATTGTGCAAGTTCTCCCACTTAAAAAGATGAGAGAGGCCTGTAATTTTCATCATAGGTATACCTCAACTATGAGAGACAAAATCCAGAAAATCACATTGTAGGATTTTTAAAGAATTTATTTGCAAATTATGGTGGAAAATAAGTATTTGGTCAATAACAAAATTTCATCTCAATACTTTGTTATATACCCTTTGTTGGCAATGACAGAGGTCAAACGTTTTCTGTAAGTCTTCACAAGGTTTTCACACACTGTTGCTGGTATTTTGGCCCATTCCTCCATGCAGATCTCCTCTAGAGCAGTAATGTTTTGGGGCTGTCGCTGGGCAAAACGGATTTTCAACTCCCTCCAAAGATTTTCTATGGGGTTGAGATCTGGAGACTGGCTAGGCCACTCCAGGACCTTGAAATGCTTCTTACGAAGCCACTACTTCGTTGCCCGGGCGGTGTGTTTGGGATCATTGTCATGCCTGGTTGAGCTGCACTAGAGAAGGCAATGAGTGTTATCACTATGTCGGAGATGTACTAGCTTTCTCAAGGCAGACGAACTTAGAGTGGTTACAATCATCCGGGTTTAAATCCCTCTCCAATTGATTTGATTTTGACGCAATATTTACGCTGAAGCTCGCAGGTAGGGGGCATGACATTTCCCGACCAGGCGCCGAGTGCTGCCAATCACAACACACACTGACCCAGCTAACCAATCACAGCACATTTCGTATTTCAGAAGGTGGGCCAGGCCTTCATTTGATACAGGAACTATTCGAGCCGTTCATGCCAGACTGGGGAGAGAGGTGTTGTAATAATGTAAAATATGTGAAAAATAATGTGTTTTTCCTAGTACCTAGAATGAGAGCCTGTTCTACTACACCCCCAAAACAAAATCAAGGCTTTGTAAAAGAGCATAATAGGACCCCTTTAAGATGCAGTCAGCTTCATGGCACACGTTACCTTTTTATAACCGGTTGTAGGACACTGTTTAACCACGCTAGTACAAATTCAAAATAAAAATACACAGACTACATAACAGTTTGTTTACAACTTACAAGTAGCCTACATTAATATATTGATGGACCCTACTTTTCGACAGACTACGAGACATTCTTTATGTTTTCCAGGGAATAGATGGAAAGTTCATCAAGATGTGCAGCCCAGAAAACTGCTACAAAATTGATTCAAAGGTGATTCTTTAGTAACTGTATCTTCCTTTCATTCTGGTCCTGTCTTTCTCTCTTTCGTTTTTGTTGCTCACTCGCTCACATGCAGACTAAATAACTATAGTAACTAGACTGTTCACGGTTACTGTGCAACGTACAGGAACAATCAAACAAAATTGTTCTGAAAGGTACTTGTCACATTGAGAGCTACTGGCACAATAACTGCTTCAGTCATGCCACAGATTGGAACTGAGATATATTTGTGATATCCAAAATATACACTATCATTTGTTGTGAAGTTATGAATAATTTTATTCAGCATGGATGCGTTAAATTGATCAGAAAGGACATTTATAATGTTACAGAAGATTTCTATTTCTCTATTTCAATTTGAAATTTCGATTCATCACAGAATCATGAAAAACAATGTGTCATGGCTTCCACAAAAGTATTAAGCAGTTAAGCAGTTTTTAACATTGATAATATTAAGAAATGTTTCTTGAGTAACAAATCAGCATATTAGAATGATTCCTGAAGGAT